AAATATAGCAGATCTAATATATTCGATAGAAAATAATTTGTTAATGGCAAATCCAGTCAATCGGATAATGCTCTGGAATTTAGACAATAAAAATGAAGCTAATACACACGCGCAACATTGACGCATTTGAGTTCTACGGGTTACTGGCGTATTTCGTATAGAAAACGTTAAAATTTCCTTTTTTTCCTCTGCCGTGCGACGATAGCTTAGAGGTAGGATCTCTGACTGATCGTGCTTCGATCTCGGCTTGAAAAAATCGGACGTCTAGCCACACTGAAGAGCCGTGATACTGCGAAACATTCTGCCTGTGGATGACTCATATATATATATATATATATATATATATATATATATATATATATATATATATATATATATATGTCAGTGCCTAGCTGCGATAGTCCGTTTCATGCTTAAAGATAGATGCTTTAAACATGAAACAGATTGTCGCCGTTGGGTGTTGACCCCGGTGTCCACTTTTTATATACATACACTCTATCCCTGATATCGAGCACTCTAACTCATAAATATAGCATATTTTAAAACTATATATATATATATATATATATATATATATATATATATGGCATAATATGTGGAGATACATGTTGTTTGTCAACAATACCAGTGTCATGTTTTTCTTTTTAGAATTGGGTCAGCTGTCATAGTCTACATTCACACGGAAAACACATTAATGAAACAGAGAGTAAAAACAAATGTCATGTCGATTTCAGTCAGTGTCTTTTATAGCCTTTTACAAACTCTAATCTTGACACGTCTCACCACAAAAACACTGGAAAATATCTGCTTCTCTTAAGAAGATGGAATGATATATATTTTTAATTTATTTATTATTTTGACCTTTTATTAAAACTTTTTTGGCTGACAATCTTTGTTTCAGCATTTAAAATGAATTACTGAAATTTTGTACTGGAGACACGCACAATTCTCAGCGAGATTTCTTTTCTTCTCTCACCCCTACCCCAGGTGTTTTGGGATATTTGGAATTGTTCAGTATTAAGAAAAGAATACTGAGCTGTTACGTGACATCTGTCCTTCTTTACGGCAGCAAATGTTGGACGATTTCCTCAAAGATGAAGAAGAGACTCGAGACGACAGAAATGTGGTTCTACAGAAGGATGCTAAGGATATCATGGACCGAGCGTGTGAGCAACGATGAGGTCTTAGAGAGGTTAAAAACAAGGAGGAGGCATATACTTAGCATCAGAAAGAGGCAGCTGAGGTTTCTGGGACACATAATGAGAAAGGAGGGCCGGAGAGTCTGATACTCACGGATCGAATAGAGGAAAGAGAGACAAGGGAAAATAAGGCATGACACCTAGGAAGTTGATGAGAGAACGTGGTCTGGGGGAGGTGGCAGGGGGAAGGAGCTTGCTGAGAGCTGCAAGGAATAGAGGGAGGTGGAGCGCCATGATCGACTACGTCCTGAAAGGACACGGCACATAGAAGAAAGAAGAAGAAGAAGAAGAAGAAGAAGAAGAAGGGATTATTCAGGAGGGCCTGAAGAATCTAATACTCACAGGTCGAATAAAGGGGAAAAAGAGACAAGGAAAAAAAAAAGAAATGTCATACCTTGCGGGCTTAAGTAAGTGGATGGCAGAACGTGGTCTGGGGGAGGTGGCAGAGGGAAGGAGCTTGCTGGGAGCTGCAAGGGATAGAGGGAGGTGGAGAGCCATGATCGCCTACGTCCTGAAAGGACACGGCACATAGAAAGAAGAAGAAGGGGTTGTTCATGCGGGCCTGGAGAATCTGATACTCACGGGTCGAATAGAGGGAAAGAGAGACAAGGGAAAACAACGCATGACATACCTAACCAGCTTAAGCAAGGGGTTGGCAGAACGTGGTCTTGGGGAGGTGGCAGAGGGAAGGAGCTTGCTGGGAGCTGCAAGGAATAGAGGGAGGTGGAGAGACATGATCGCCTACGTCCTGAAAGGACGGCACATAGAAAGAAGAAGAAGAAGGAGGAGGAGGAGGAGGAGGAGGAGGGATTGTTCGGGCGGGCCTGGAGAATCTAATACTCACGGGTCGAATAGAGGGGATAGAGAGACAAGGGAAAACAAGAAATGTCATACCTAGCAGCTTTAAGCAAATGGATGACAGAATGTGGTTTGGGGGAGGTAGCAGAGGGAATGAGCTTGCTGGGAGCTGTAAGGGATAGAGGGAAGTGGAAAGACATGTACGCCCACGTCCTGAAAGCACACGTCAAGAAGTATTAATATTTGTAGTTAGTTGTGTGAAACAGTGAGATTTTCATTATATTACATAAGTTTATGAATATCATCATCTTTTTGCCGCTTCTGAAATTTCCGTCTGAATTTCAGGGATGAGGAGTTATCATTATTCAAACTACACGGTGGACCATAAGTTTCCATACATAGAAAGAAAAAAAACATTTTATATTGGACAACCGTTTTGTGCTCTATATGATTGCCATTGTTTCAAAAACATACATTAATAAGTTTTCATACTGTTGATGAATACGCATTAGCACAGCTGAAGTTATGTTTCTAATGGCGTTAATGATAAGTTCCTTGAGAAGATTTATGTCTCATATCTTCATCTGATACACTATGGCCTTCAAGTGCCCCCAAAGATATCAAATCACGAAGCGGAGAGATCTGGGGATGGTGGAGGCCACTTCACAGAACCAAACCGACCAATCCAAGCATCCGGAAACTGCTAATCCAAATAGCGATGCACCACTTGCATTTTCCTATGTATGGAAACTTATGGCCCACCCTGTATTTATGCTCTGACTATTGTCTTCATCTTCCTTCTTGTTGTCACAAAGGTTTTGGCCGTTGTATCCCCCCCCCCGGCTTTCATCAAGTGTATATCAATCTGAGTAACCGACAGGGAATTCTGAACTGACGGAGGTAGACACGGGCAGTGAAACAATCTACCCTCTGTAGATTAAATAAAGGGTTCAGTTCAGAATTCTCTGCAGGTTACCCAGATCGATATACACCTGCTGAAGGCCGGAGCTCACAAAAGCCGAAACGATGGGGTAACAAAGATGAGGACAATAATCCGAGTATAAATACTGTAAATAGCTTCTAAAATGTTTGAATTAATGCAAATACTTGATCTGAAAATCTCACAGATTTGAAGGATTATTTCAAATTTGCATGAACCAGCCGTCCATCTGTTTTGTTAACAGACCCTTACTAATAGGATTAATTAAACAAAGAAGAGACTTGAAGCGACAGAAATGTGGTCCTACAGAAAGATGTTGAGGATAACATGAACCGAACATTTGAGCAACGATGAGGTTTCAGAAAAAATGGAAACAAAAACGAAAATTATACTTAATATCAGTAAGAAACAGATGATATTTCTGGGGCACATAATGAGGAAGGAGGGCTTGGAAAATCTGATACTCTCAGGACGGATTAAGGACAAGAGGGACAGAGAAAAACATCTCATAACATACTTGACAAGTTTGAGAAAATGGATGGCGGAACAAGGTTTAGAAATATGGAAAAGACAGATTTTATTTATAGCTTCAAGAGTCTGGAAATTGTGGAGCCCATCATCGCCTATATCCTGAGGGGACACGGCATATAAAGTGAAGGAATCCTTTATCTCTTTTCAAACCTAATCCGACAATATTTTACACCAAAAACTCTAGAACTTTACGTTTTGCAAGCAGTTCTTATGATTCTGTATTTTTTTTTTTTTTTTTGTCCTTGAAGCTAAATCTCCTGGAAATAATACAAAAATTGGAAAATGTTGAAGAATAATGATGCTACTGCGGACCCTAGTGAACAATATACTGCCATGGACCACCCACTGAGAGAAAGTAAAAAGATGCACCTTGTGTGGTCCTAAGATAGAAAAACGCAAACTGTCTGTCATACTTACCAAAAACAAGTCTGTCAAAATCATTTGAAAGTGTTTTGTGCAAAATGCAACGATGAATTGTAATTTTTTTTTAATGTAATTTAAATTAAGTTTATAATTTCAAAATAAATGCAAAGATGTATTGTAATTTTTCTGTTTCTGTGAAAAAAATGATTAAAATTGCTATTTCTTTGTCCATCTATAATTATACATACCTAAATCATGAAAAAATGCTAAGTTTGAGATAAATAGTAAAATAGAAATGGGTCCATTTGGACCCAGGTGGTATTTAATGGAATCAGTTTTCTTGGTAGATGGAAGGTTAACTTTTACTCTTAAAGCATTTATAAAAAATTCATAATTTGTGTCCAGTCTTTACACAAATTCAAGGAATTATATATGTCGCTATAAAAATATTAAATCATATTTGTATCTCAGAGTCCAAAAGAAATTTGTAGTTGATGACCAAGTCGATAAATGAAATGCTCTTTATTGTTGCTATAACAGTGTTTCTGTCGTACTTCTTTATTTATTTAATAAAGAGAAATGACAGTAAGGCTTTAACAGCAGCAGCAAGAAAAGAGAAACCGTGGTGAATGCAATCAAGCGTGACAGAGTAGCAAAACTTTGGAAACAATTTTCCGAATTGTCGTTAATTTGTTTGATGATTAAGCTTGAATGCTTAACTCGATCGTTTTCCAGCAATCTCCGAGAAGATTAAAGTTTTCAGTTCCCAAGAATATTTTTTTTGTTTAATAACTTGGTTACGTTTAACAAAAACAAACCATTTTATTAGAGATATTTTTATAGCCTGACATACACCGCAGATTGTAAAGCACTTTGACGCACAAAACAATAAGCAGAAGAAACAGCTAGGCTATAAAATCTAAGAGGAAGAAATGGAGAAAGACATTCTTTTAAACATTCATTCCATATCTTGTCTTCTCTTCACAATAAATTTTGCATTGACATGTTTCTTGTGATTTACATGTTTTCTTCGGCATTGAAACTACAATAACTTTTTGGATTTATTTTTATTAATAATTTTTTTCTGAGGTTAAAGGTCAGAACAAAAAACCCGGAGATTCTTTGGAAATATTCTTGTGTATGCGTTGCTTTCGAATCGACAACTCCCATCAAGATTCTCTTGTTTCTTCTTCCTGCGGTAAAGCATCTGTAGAAACGGTCAATATTGGATTGTCAGCGGCGTAACATTTCGCTCTCATGTTGTTTTGAACATTTTCTTCGCATTGTTCCGACTGCGGTGTTTCTGGTTTTTGTAGATGATAGATGTACCGAGCCACTAACGAGATAAAGAACATCTCAAAGATCTGGACCATATTGTTGTAACCTGAAAAAAGAAATAGGCAGATAAAGTCGAAGCCATTTAAAGCAAAGGCAAAAAATAAGATAATATAAAGATGTTTAAAAATACGTGAATTGTACATCGCGTAACCAATTCCAGAACGAAAAGACAAGGGAAGATCAAATGTTATGGTTTATCATTTCTCGTAGGTGGGTACGATAGACTAAAATTTCATAAAATAAATCCTAGCTGGTACCCAAGGGGACTTCCGAAAATCTGGTTCAGTTGATATAGAATATCCCAGATTCATTAAAGAAACGTTTACGTTTTTGTGAAAACAAATTCAGTTAAATGGCAGTCGGTTTAAATATAATCCAAGCGGAAATAATGCTGTATTATTGATAGACATTATTTCCAATCTCAAGGAAATTTTCATAAAAGTATTTTTTATCTCTTCCTAAAAGACACACATACACCTTTACACTTGTGTGTGCACCGATACTTTTTTGGAGTCAGTGCCTCTAATTCTTATAACCACCAGGTTCATTTTCGATATTTAGATATAGATACGGATATATAAATATCTTTAAATTACAGGTCAAATGAAAAGTGGAAATTTATGTTGCTCCAATCTTCTAGTTGGTAAGGGTTTGCCGGTCTCAAAAATCAGTATCTTTAGCATGTTTTTGTTGAGGTTAAAAATTATATAGTAAACTTCATACAATAAGAGTCGCGCAGTTTTTATACAACAGCAATCGAGAAAGTTAACTCGAGTTTCCTTTTTTGGGGCCGGAAATGACGAAACATTTGAAGAAAAATAATTTTCTGTTTTGTATGTGATCATTTTTGAGTTTTCCAATAAACGACTGCAGTCATCCATATACGTCGATTTACTTAAAGCTATTTTCTAAGCGTAACTTAGTTGTGGCACAAGGCCGAAAATATGAGCACCCAGTGAGGATCGATCTCACTATTCAGTCGCAATGAATCTAGCGAGACAAGCTTGCTAACCATTTACTTATTTGGGTGAACTAAAACCTTTTCCACACGACCAATGAGCTCACTATTTACATTATTCGGACTATTGTCCTCATCTTTGTCGCCATATTTATTACAAAGTTTCGGCCGTTGTACGCTCTGGCCTTCTTCAGGTGGTTGGAATGTCGAACAGAAACCTTTATTTCGCTCACTGGGGTAGACTGTTCTAGTACAACGTGCCATGTTTAATGGATATCAGTTATCACTTATCTCCTGTTAATTTCCCTCTCCAAGTTCTCCACTGACTTAACCGAGTATTGAACTCACACTCTTTGGGTCCTGTCACTATATCTAACTAACGCCTTTATCCACTGTGCCATGTGTCCTTGAGAAGAAGGCCGGAGCGTACAACGGCCGAAACGTTGTAATAAATATGGCGACAAAGATGAGGACAATAGTCCGAATAATGTAAATAGTGTACATAATACCTCATCTCAGAAATATGGACAGATACTGACAAATGAGCTCTCCCCCCAAAATCAATTTGGGTCGAACCGAGGACTTTTCAGCACATGTTGTTATATATACACGTACACAAATATATACAAACAAGCACATATATACACATAGATTAATATCCGTGCACGTGAATGAAGCCTTCACTATATATGATAAAAATAGAGTTTTATATGAATAAAACTGTTCAATATCAAGGAGAAAGCATGTATATAATCTTTGACCTCAAGAAAAACATAGAAAAGTTCGACGCTGCCGCTTGAAAAAAATCGTGCGTTCAGATCTTTTTCAGTAATTTGCAAACAAGCGAGACATGAAATGTTAAAAGACTTTAATTCTATTCCGCTTGCAGAAAAGTAGAATTAATATTAAATAATTGGGATACTTGCAACAGTTGGACAGAGTTCTTCAAGTGAAATTAAAAGGGTAGTCACTCAATATAGCCATCATTTCACCATACTAGATAATGCCAAAAGCCAGTGAAAATCGCAAGAAATAAGAACTATTCTGATAGATCTAAATGCAAAATCTGGAAAGAACCGAGACAGTCGCCAAATTCGTCGGCAATTATGGAATTGGATCGTGCAACACACGCGGGGAAAAGTCGACCTCTTTGTAACCAGCGAATGACCAATTTTAACGGCTGATTCAAGAACACCCAGACTCTTATAGACATGGGAAGGTTATATAAAGAATAAGATGGATTACCAAACAACCAACAAAAGATTTAGAAATGACGTTCTATACTCTAAATCATATACAAGTGTCGACTGCGGAGGTGATCATCTCCATTAGCAAACTAAGGTTAAAATTACGGAAATTAAATAAAAATCTACAATAGAAAAACATATGGAAATGTAGTTAGAATGAATATAAAACCTGGAATCTCGAAATGGAACACTGTAAGGGAACCGCTAGTGACAGCGTCAAAAGAGATCACCAGAGGGAAAGAGAGGTAAGAAAAAAAAAGAAGTGGATGCTAGATGAATTTTCGTGTATTAACACGAAAATTCATCTATCATGGAACAGCACAGAATATAGGATATTAAAGAAAGATATTAGAAATAAATACAAGCAAGTAAAAGATGTATGGGTCAGCGAGAAGAAAGCAAAGATAGAAAAACTCTGTAGGAGGAATGCATAAAAATATATAAATAACAGAACAAAAAACCATGCTCTTCGACAGGATGCATAAAATCTAAAGAAAAAAATTCTCATAACTGAAATCGAAAATATATTACAAAAATGGAACGAATATATCGGTGAGCACTTCCATGACAACAGAGGAAAGGAGGCTACAATACGTTAAAACATGGAATCACCCATAATATTAAAATCTGATGAGGATACTGGCTTTCTGTACAAAACAACACACTTCGTAATAGGATCACATTTGTTCAAAGAACGCAAGGCTCAAGGGGTTAACATTCATTTTCACCTCTGAAGATCTACTTCAACAAAACTCGACCATCTAGCCTAGTAAATATTGAGAAATACCATGGACTTTTTGCTGATTCATGTGTTCTCCTCCCGGGGCAAAAGGTCAATCCCAGGGAAATTAAAATACTGCCAAGGCAAGCAATCAGAACTGTAACTACGATAATCTTATTACGTACGCCGAACCCCAATATGGTAAAGGTCGATACTAAGCGAAATTCAGCCTGCATCATGTTTCAAACCAAATAAACGTATAAATTTCGGATGCTGATTTTTTGCAGTTTTTTTTTTCTTTTAATTGAAAGGTAAGTACAACATTGTATTTTCTCTACATTTGACTTTCTTCCCACTATATCAAAAACCAAAATTTTAAAAAATAAACAACGGAATATAATAAACCTATAGCTGCTAAAGTTTAGCAAGCAGTCAATTTTTCAGCCATAACTGATAACAACATCAGATATCGAAGCTTTAGCAGCATCACCATCAAAGAATGCTGCATCTGAAAGATTTTGGTAAATATCTATTGTAGCATACCTACGGACGATAATGGGTATGTCCCCATTCACATAAATACAGTAGAAAATACTGTATGTTGGTCTGCGGTTGTAAATTCGTCTCCAGCTGTGCTGGTCAAACTCTCTGCCTCCGGGCCGAGGGGATCCCCAGACGAGGCTATTTCGAAGGGCAGAGTCTCGTCTCAGGAAACAGCTACTCGATCTCGTTTTATACGGGGTCTACGGGGAATTTTTGGTCAAGCCTTCGGGCTCGAATACATTTACATTCGGCCTTGTGCCATATCTGACCGCGTGGAGCGGTTGGTAGATATCCTACAGTTGGAGATTGATTGTGGAATTCTCTTAACTGACTTCTATCAGTTGACTACTACTTCTACGCGACGCTGGCGAATCGTATATGTGTTGTTCTTGTTCTAATTATTATCGTTCATTACCAACCTTTGTGTGATTATTCTATTCAGTAACCTTTCCTAGTTTACAAAAATATCAAATAGATATTTTTATCGCAAATTAAAATTTTTCCCACCATAAAAATATTTTAAAGATATATTAAAATATTTCCCACCATATAAAGCGAATGGGGTCATCTAAGATCAATTTTAGTAAACACGGGAATTAAATCGTTTTACTGTCCTCAACTTATGACCTCGGGGTAATTTTTTAAATAAAATCTGTTGGGGCTGAAAAAAAATGCGTATTATACGGTGGTAAATATAGCTATTGATTAATCAAATCGAATCAAATGGATGAAGAAACTTACGAAGGCTGAGCACACGAGAACCGTAAGGAGGGTTACATCTTGGGATATGTTTCGATTCAAGAAGGTTGAAGATGCTTGGCTGGAGGATGCCGAATAAAATAACCATCTGGAAACAGACGAATTTACCAAGGATGCGTTTTTGTCCAAGATCTTTTTGTAGATGGCTACGGGTGAGTCGATATATAATCTGAAGTCCAAACATGGCTAACATCATTGAAAAACTCTTTAGAATGTTTATAGTTCTCACCACTGACTGTGAACAAGAAAATACAATTACATCACTTAGCGATATCCATACAAATACAATACAATATTCATGTTCATGTACAAATACAATATTCATGTTCATTTAGATGCAGATGCGTTCAAAAAGATTTTTAAAATCGATAGTTTCTTTTTCACAAATCTATTTTGATTTTTTGATGAAATGCAAAGTCGGTACAGAATATAGTCCCCTATAAATATAGTATAACTTAAATATATATATATATATATATATATATATATATATGTGTGTGTGTGTGTGTGTGTGTGTGTGTATGCGCGCACGCATAACTCCGTTAAAAATTATAGAAAAAAATTGTATAGGTGTGTTTGAAGATTAATTTCTTCGCTTTTCACAGGTTAATTCCCATATATATATATATATATATATATATATATATATATATATATATATAGAGAGAGAGAGAGAGAGAGAGAGAGAGAAAGAAGGAGAGAGAGCAAGAGAGAGATTTAATTAGTTCGTGGTTTTGAAAACTATTAACAGATGAAATTAAACTAAATTACCTGATATATTAGATATATTCGTTTCTGTTCTCTTTCTATACATACATATATATATATATATATATGCATGTATATAAAATATCTCACATTGAATTTTAGTGTTAATAAGATATAATTTATTTTAATATAGATTTTTCCTCACTGTATCACAACTCTGAGTTTCATGCACAAGGCAATTGTCAGGTGCTGATTGGAAACTGACTTGAATATAAATAGTGTAAATAATGATAACTCCTGACCCCAAAGATTCAGAGATAAATCGACATTATTGTCTGGAAATTATTTCTTGGACAACTTTGATATATGTTTCGAATAGTTGTCGACCGTTACAGCCCCAAATCTGAATATATACTGTTCTTTCTTCATGATCCCGTCCAGTTTAATAATTCTACTAGTCATAATGTCAAAATAAATAAATAAATTCCCCTAGCAAAAAGTCGCCACCAACCAAGCTTGACTCTTGGTAAGTGATATTTAGGTTGGAATCACCACAGATTTCCACTGAAAAAAGTAACATACTAGTGACCAAGAGAATATTTTTTCCATCTGGTTAAAGAATTGATGATCAAAAGCTTGAATCTTTATCAATATGGCGCTTAGCAAAAGCAAAGCGAGCTTGAAGTAACGGAGATTTTTTTTCTGGTCGTCTTCTGTAGAGGCCAGCCTGATGTAAAGTTTTCCGAGTTGTCTGCTAAGAAATTTGAACATTAAAATCATTCAAACCGGTCTAGTTATCATGGGTTGGCATTTTCGGATCGTTCTTTATGTCTTTGAGAAATTTTTTTTTTTTTTTTTTTTTTTGCTAAACGATGTCATACCTTGAGTTTCCTTCCCCGTCCTTTGAGATTTTACACGTAAAGAAGAAAATCCATATTCTTTGATGTACTGTTCATGATAAGTACGAATCTGAGATACTAAAATCAAACAAATACGAAAATTTAAATATCTGTGAAGGGTTTTACGGAAAATGTGACATCGAAATCCGAAGGCGCATTGGATAAAGAAATGTGCTTTCCAGAAGCTAAACAAAGTATTAAGAAACAGGAAATATCGTTAGAATCAAAGAAAAAATGCAAAATCGGTCCTCATTTGGTGGCAATGAATGCGACACAATCTCCTTAAAATGAAGACGAGACTTGAAGAAAGAGAAAATGTAGTTCTACAGAAAGATACTGAGAATATCATTGACTGAACATGAGAGTAACGAGGAAGTTTTAAGAATAATGGAAACAAAAAGGACGCTTTTACTTAGAATCAGAAAGTGACAGTTGGAATTTCTGGGACACATGAGGATAGACGGCTTGGAGAATTTGATACTGAAAGGAAATATTGACGGTAAGAGGGAGAGAGTAAAGCAACGAATAACCAACCTAACGAGTTGATGCCATTTTTTGGCAGAACAGGAATTGGGAGGGATGATGAAAAGACAAGGTTTACTAAGTGCTAGAAAGGATCGGCAGAGCTATAATCTGCCACTTTTTGAAGGATCCCGACACATACATGAAAAAGAAGAAGGAGAAAGAGAAAGAAAAAGAGGAGAAAGAAAAAGGGAAGAAGAGAGAGAAGGAGAAAGAGAAGAAAAAATAAAAAAAGAAGGAGGAAGAGAAATAGAAGGAGAAAGGGAAGGAGAAAGAGAAGGGGAAATAGTGAGAAAAAGGAGAAGGAGAAAGAGAAGAGAAGAAGAAGGAGAAAGAGAAGAAAGGAAAGGAAAAAGAGAAAAGAAAGAGAAAAGAATGAATTGGAGAAGAAGAAGAAGAAGAAGAAGAAGAAGAAGAAGAAGAAGAAGAATGAGGAGAGAAAAAGAAAAGGGGAGTGAGAAAGAAGAGGAGAAAGAAAGAGGAGAAAGAGAAGAAAGAGAAAGAGTAAAAAAGAGAAGGAAAAAAAGAAAGAGATGTTTTATCTCTCTATTCCCCCTGTTTTGTTTCTTTCAATCTGACTCAATCTCTTTAACGACAATATTTTAAAAGTTTAAAACATTTTCAACAGTTACGAATAATTTTGTGATTAATTCTGTGTGTGAGAGCGCGCGCGTTTATGTGCGCAGCAGATGTATATATATATATATATATATATATATATATATATATATATTGTATAGCCCTAGTCAAACGAGTTCAAATCCCACCTCGGATTTGTTCAGGAAATGAAACGAAAAGCGATGCCTCGTACTTACCTTGTTCGAAGTTTGATAATCTGCGTTTAGAAAGTAGATGCCGTAACAGAACGACAGAATCGGTCGTATCAGGGCCCCCTGCAGGACAAATAGCCGAACAGCGATAATGCTTTTACTGCAAGAGAAACATTCAATTAGGCAATAAGTATTTTAAACACAAAAACACACACACACGTACACGCAGGCGTAAGCACATAAGCACACACGCAAACACACACACACACACACACAAGGCCAACCTTGGATGTGCCGGTGGTGTGATTGATAACGGCTCGCAATGAGAAATCGTTTAGCCGAGATCGAATCCCATACGGGTTCGTTACATTCACGTAGGCACAACTACACCTGACCGTCATCCGGCGACTGCTAGCATAAACGGCGCAAAAGGGTTAAAAAAAATAAATTCCTCGACAGGAAAGTAGAGTTTTTAAAATGTCATCTATCGACTTACATTGAGACTTTAACTTGAATCCTTTTCCAAATGCATGGACAAATGCAACATAGTGGCGGCACGGCAAGCGGTAGATGGGTGCCGTTAAAGACACGAACCAGGTTACTTTCACCGGCGATAAATAGGACGATCATTCTTTGAAATATAAACATCGCCATCGACAAATAACTGAAAAGAAGAAAAAACTTTTGGTTCTGAAAGATCAAAAAAGACAAACAAGACAGAAGAAGCCAAGCAATGACCTTCACTGTAAAGTAAAACTGTTTTTTGTTTTTTTTTATTTAAATTATTTACTAATGTCCTCATCTTTGTTGTTATTATCACAATGTCTCTGTCGTTGTTCCCTTTTGACCGGTTAAAAAGGATCTCGAACTTCACTCTACGGGGGTCGATTGTTCTCGTACCGCTCGAAGTTCCTTTTCGGGTTCTAGATTCAAGATTATCCATGGGGCAATAAGGCAGGTTGATTTTCCACTTTTTATAGAAAATCATCATTGCATTCTGTGTGAAAACTGGGGTTAAATGTCATAAGTACTGACACCAAAAATTAATTTCATAGCTTTTACCAATTTCTGGGCATTTAGTTTTTAAAGATCGTCTGATTTCCACAGGTTTTTGCTTACATACGGACTTCAAAATTTTACCATTTCAAGAATAAATCCGAATAAAATTAATATTTTTGTATTGGAATGAATGGAAAATATATTCAAACTAGAATTCTAATTATGAATCACTACAAGCAAAATATTTATTTTTACTGTATTCAATAAGTGAAAACTCTGTAAAAAATTGCAAAAGATTGCAAAATTGTCTTCTCAATTAATAAGATTTGTTAGGTCATAATTAATAAAAACAAAAAAATAGACAAAATGTATATAACACCATAATACTGCTGGGCACAAATTATAAGACAAAAAGTTTTAAATTTGCATTGTTTATTGAAAATCACATTAAAACTATTGCACAATATAAAGTATTAAATCATAATATAGCTAAACTTTTCATTATAGATTCCCTTTGAAGTAAATGAAGGTCTTATCTGATGGCACAATGATTTAGTAATAATATGCTTGTGCCATGCACCTTGTCCATATATAAATGGTAAAGCTTCAGTAAATTATAAATTTTATAAGGCTATGCGATAAGGCTTTCACTGGTCACCAGAATGAAATTCCAACGCTACGATTTTGAACCTAAACATAACATTTAAACTCGTTTCCTCAAAAAACGGTAAAGATTTCGAAAAGAATATCTTGTATCATAATTTACCATGTAAAACCCCCAACGTTCAAATTGAGTGCAATATCACGGTTTCAAAATCGACCTGCCTTAACGCGGCAATAGCCTAGTTAATTAAAGCGTTGGTTGCTCCACTTGGTTTTATAGTAATTGTCAGTTCAATTCCGGGAATAGGAGGTAGGGACTAGATGGAAAAAAAGCCATAACTGGGCAGTACTGAAAGAAAAGAACAAGACTTGATGCTCCTAGACATAGGCAGCTGAACGAGAACAATTTCTCCCCGTAGAATAAAGGTTTTAGTTTGAATTTCCCTAAAGGTTACCCTGTTCGACAAGCACCTGAAGAAGATCGAAAACACAACGAAGAAATACAGTGATAATAACAAAGATGAGGACATTAGTCAGATTGAAAAAAAGATAATTATTCATCATAGCAATTTCTACAGAAGCTATGTTTTTAGTAAAAAAGAACTTTAATTTCATGGTCAAGCAGCCTTCTTGACAATAACCCAGAAATCTTTTGCTATTTTCGAAACAATTTATTGCATGAATAAGATTTGTTAGATCATAATTAATAAAAACAAAAGATAGACAAAATGTATATAGCACCATAATACTGTTGGGCATAAATTATAAGACAAAATTAATAACCATTAAAAAAGTCGTTTTAAAAAAATGAAAAGAATGTTCAACTTGTGTTAATATTTTTTTTAATATTTTGTTTTAGTTTCAAAGTGTCAAAGATCAAGTTTACTGGATCCCCCCCTCCATCAACCGAATATAAAATACTACTCAAGGTTGTTTCGTTTTAATTGAGAATCTACAGACTTTAGTGTAATGATGTTTCCGGAAATTACCCAGAACAAAAAGGCTTCTTTTGCTATTTACGTTAGAGTATGTCTTGGACTTTTAGTGCACAGGGGAAAATGTTTCCTCATAGAGAAAATTGTGATTTATTAATATTGTTGTAAAGTAGTTTTTCACAGTGGAGGCTTGTATTTCGCTAAGTCAGTCCTAAAAGGGTCCGACGTACAAAACGTTAGGAACTTGCAATAATAATAGTTAATGACGCAGCAATCTAGTTGGGGTCGTTGATACTTCAATGTCCGACATCGACTGACTCACTCAACTCCACTGAGCCCAACTGGCGACCGCTACTACTACTACTACTACTACTTATGTGTGGGAGAGTCTATTACAATAGAATAGGTAATGTTCCGGTATAACAAATATGCATTTGCCAAAGTCAAGATTTAACAGCTCAAAGAAACACGAATGGTGGTTGTGTAAAACTAACATTCAGAGCCGTAAAACAAATAAAAAAAAAAATTTCCTGGCACCCAAACTCAAAGAATATTCTAAACGAATAACTACAAGCCTGGATGATTTGCTAAGTTTTATTTTTTTAAGCAAAGTAAAAATTGATAGTCTGTGTCAATATCAATAATCTATTTTCCTGATATCTTTAATAGCTTTCCCACCACCGTAATGTGCCTTCTCTTTGCACCGTCTATAAAACATTTTACTATACTTGTTTTGATGAGCTTTCCTCGTTGGTACCTCAACTTCACGAATTTAAGCGCAGTACTAGATTGGCAGTTAGGTCTCATACTTTTACTGTTGAAATTACTAGTTGCACCCTAAGTCCTATGATATTAGTTTCTTTTCTCGCAATTCTCGTTTTAGGGACTGTCTTCCAATTTCCTGCTTTCCTACGATCTTCAAAAATCTAAATGCAATGTCAATTGTCATCTTCTGCCACCTTTTGCCACCTGTTCTTTTATTGTCCTCTCTGTTTCTTTCGTTCTCAGCAACCGCTTGCATCTTAGTGGCTTTATCACCATGCTTGATGTTAAATGATTAAAAGAAATATATGTTTAAAAAGGCTGGGAAAACTATAATTCGACCATTTGTGAGCATTGGCAGAAAGGTTGTAACTTACTAAAAATTAGATCTAAGACAAAGGACGAAGTAAGAGTTGACGTAATTCGGCAAACAGAATTGGTGAAAGAAGTTCGACTTCCAGTTGAAGCAGTAGGTATTTACTTTATAGTAATCCTTTGGGAAGTTATGAATCAAACACTTCTTGGCCTCTATACCATTTGCAGGTATCACAACAAAAGTCTCATGAGTGGCATGCCTCTATAGTTGCGTGAGGAGAGTGCTGGGATGAGATTCCAGTGACCAAGGTGATACCTATACATTTTTAGATTCGCCTGTCGGAGTTAACTCCTCCTTTAGTTCGTTAACCCTTTCACCAGGGGTCTCTCTTCCCTGGTTATAAATAGTCGCTGACCTTTCGCCTCTTCCTCTCTTTTTCCTCAGGCTTTTCAGCCTTACCACCTCGCAGATGTGAACGATCACAGAGATAGCGTTTCCCAAATGCTGGTAACACGCTAAGCACAATAAACGTACGTACGAACACTCACCACACACACACACACATATATATAATATTCACACGCACACTCTGTCCATTGTAACTGTCCATGTAACTTGTTATTAATATATATATTTGTATACATATATTTATCGGTCTTGTGTTTGCTTTTCTTTGCCTTCTTTGGACTTAATTAAAGTCCAACTTTCTCATGTAGTTGGACCGGCTAGCAGGAAAATCTTAACCCCCACATGTGTTCTTCTACTTCTATTAACAACATCACAGCCACGGTCCACTACACGCCTTACCTACAATCTAATTCCCCCCTATTCTATGTTACTTGGAAAAGGGGGCGAACATTTCCAAGTAGTTCCTTTTACTACTCTAAACTCAGCTTGAGAACCCGACCATCTCGTAGAATGCATCACTAACAAAACCTATCGACAGGTTCTTTATATCAGTAATCAATGTCGTTAGACGTTTACTGTTAAACAAAAGATTGAGCCAATGAATGTTTACTCACAATGTGGACAGGAATTCTGTCATCGGCAAAGATCGAGGGACAACCAGTCCGCACATTGCACACAAAGAGAAAACCTGCACAATGCAACAAATAACAGAAGTTTGTTTACTGTTTTTAAAAAAAAGAACACATCACAGCTTCAACGAATCTATGGAAACAAAAATGGATAACTGATTCAAAACTAAGCTAAACTAAAAACAAAAATATCAATCACTGCTGCAAAAATAACTAGCATTTATTCGTATTGAAATTGAATGCTGAAAATATCATGGACTGAACATGTAAACAATGAGGAAGTTTTAAAGGATATGAGAACAAAAAGGATACTTTTAAATGGAATTAAGAAGAGAGTTGAAATTATGCAAAAATAACTAGCGTATAGAAATTGAATACACTGGTGAGTAGACAATTTATTAAGATTTAAAAACAAGTACACACTTCACGAGAAAAGGGAAGAAAAAGAAAAAGAGTAAGAAAGAAAGGCACAAGATACATCTTCTTTTCACGAGAAAAGGAAGAATACGTAAAAAGTAAGAAAGAAAAGAGAAGAGATGGTTGGAGGGTTTGTTCTTGTTTTCATTCAGATCAGCCAATAGGAATGTCCTACGCTATGTTCAAAGTAAGGGTAAAAACGAAAGTTAAGAAGCAATCATACGTAAGAGGTCATGACATATACACACACACACACACACACACACACATATACATACATATATATATATATATATATATATATATATAAAGACACCCACAGACAGACTGTTTCGCTATTTCACAGCTCTTCAGTGTGGCTAGACATCCGGTTGCCTATAGCTAGGATCAAAACCCGACTGAATTGGTGTTAGTCGGAGATTCTACCACTTGAATTTTAGCGTATTTATTTTTAGATAAACACACACAATGACCGACCATCGCGTAGAATGCAGTACTAACAATATATATATATACGTGTAAATGTGTATGTGCGTGTTTCATTGAATAATATAGACATATTATGTTTATTTTTATACTGATCATTTCTAATTTTCTAAACAGTTACAGGAAAATACTTGTTAACAACACCAATATACAACACCATGAAAATAATAAACAAAAACTTCAAATTCTTGAGGTCTCTATATCAAAATCAACCAACCAACAATCAATAAAAATTTATTATGAGTGTAGCAGCAACGTGTTGAAGTGCATATTCTGTCATTGGCAAAGATCGGAGGACAACCAGTCCGCACAATGCACAAAGGAGAAAACCTGCACAATGCAACAAATAAAAGAAATTTGTTTAATTTTTTTTTTTAAAAATGAACACATCACAGCTTCAACAAATCTATGGAAACAAAAATGGATAAGTGATTCAAAACTAAGCTAAACTAAAATATCAATCACTTCTGCAAAAATAACTAGCATTTATTCGTATAGAAATTGAATATACTAATGCTGAGAATATCACGGATTAAACATGTAAACAATGAGGAAGTTTTAAAGAATATGGCAACAAAAAGGATACTTTTAAACAGAAGAGAGTTGTAATTCTGCGAAACATAACGAGGATGGTGGGCGTGGAGAATTAGACACTCACAAGACATACTGAAACCAAGTAGGATAAGGGAAGAATAACCTTTCTACCGAGCTTGTCTATTAAATATGAGAGAACACAGACAGGAAGGTAACGGGACAAACATTACTTAGAGTTACAAAGACTAGGACTTTGTGGAAAGCCATAGTCGCTCAAATCCCGAAAAAACACGGAACATAAAGATGTTTCAATGTAAACTATATTTTTTTAAAAGAAGTTATTTTCAAAATTACATCGAAGATGAATCAAACAAATTGTTCGTCTTTCGATCCGAGCAACGGAATATATTACAGCAAATTTATAATCCATTAGAATCGGTAAAAATTTGAATCGGATATACACTCGGTTCTGATGAATCCATCTATGAGGACAATCATTGAACAACCTGTTAACTCTTTTACATGACTTGAATCAATGGCGGGAGTCAGCCAGGAGATCCTCACGGAAAACTTGAACATGCATTGGGTTGCTGTGAAAACTGTCTCCTGGATGTAATAACTATTCGCATTATTGAATTGAAGGGTTTCCTGGAAGCCCATGCCTTAAAGAAATACAAAAAATTGTTCTCACGAGTACAGCCCACACCTTACGAAGGGCATTATCTATGTAAAATTTTTTTTTTTTTTTTTTTTTTGGCAGTGGAAAATGTTATGATGCCATTTCTAACCTTAGGTCTCTGGGCGGGACCCGGAACGAAATGTGTACACGCCAGAAATCAAAGGAAATAAAATAGTAATAATAATAATAATAATAATAATAACAAAAAGAATATATGCGACGCCATGTAAATTGGCTATTGTGTCGAAAGTATGGCTACCAAGTCGCAGAAAATTGGTATGTGCATGTGCTTTGCAGAACAATTGAAAAAGTTGGAAAGCCCACAATATTCAGGGACTGTGATTTTCAGACAAAGTGATACACTATTATTGTGTTTGATAAAGGCACCAAGAAGTGTCATATGATGTCACTAAACCAAATGTCGCAAATAAAGCAGAGAAGGTGATTGAGAAAATGACAAACTACTGTGATTTGAAATTTGTGATAGTAAGATTGTTTGGAATGCAGAAAGGGGAATGTCAAGGTGATTCCAGTAGTGATTGGCGTACTGGAATCAATCCCATTAAAACTGTGTGACGTTTTTTGACCAGCTGGGGATACTATATATATATATATATATATATAAAAAAGAAAGAAGTTTTAGTGGTTCCAACGAGAGAAAAGTATGTATATTAAAAAGAAGAGAAGAGAGGTGCCGCAAACGTTTTTGGTTGTAATGTGGATTTATTTAGAAAAAATATCATGCTTTGTTTTACATAATTTTACTACACGTGTTTCTGGTCTCGCGACCGTCTTCAGGTAAAGCGGAGATTTCCACATATTATTAAAAATAATTGATTTTTTTCCTTATGTTTTTCAATGTTAAATATGAGACATTTTCTGTTTTTGTGTTAGTAATCCGAATTTCTTTCTTGAATTGGCAATGAAGAGTTCTGCGCGAAGGGTCATAAAACAATTATGTACTGCGCATATTTTGAAGACCGTGTTATCTGCTCGATGTTTTCTTTGTGACTTGATAGATATCTTAATGTACCCGGTGTATTTAAAAACTTACATTGTGTGACAAAACATAACAACAAAAAAAAAAAAGAAAGCAAAAAACAACTGACATACCGGGTAAATGCCGAGCAAGCACATCACTTTTAAGCGTTCTTCTTTGTCAACGTAAGTCAATTTCAGCATCACCACCTCCTCAACGTAAAGCATTAGTACCAGAAATGTCATCACCAGACACGTGCCACCCAAAATAATGTCCAAGTTGCCAATATCTGAAATCACAGACCAGAAATAAAAACAAGCCGAGACCAACGACTGCTTAAAATGTTCAATCATCGTCAGCACGTGATGATGTTAGCGAGAATGACAAGAGATGGTCACTATGAAAATACTTACATATAAAACGTACATTATCATTCATATATTCATTAGGTGTGTGTAAAAGTCTACAGAGACTTCTTATCATTTTCATTTCCAAAATAGAGACTGGATAAACACTACAAAACGAGGCTTAAATCATTAATTTAAAAAAAAAAAACACTGGAAACTTAGAACAATAGAATTTAAACCAGAGAAACAATATTAAACTACTCAACACTTTTCAAAGTCGAGTATGTCACCATCTTGACAGGTAAATAGATTTTCATTCAAAGTTAATATAATTTTGGTGAACTGTTGGCATGAAATTCAAGAAGAAGGTATGATGGCGATTGATTTGTAGGTTATTTTAAAACTGAAATACCTTTTGGATTTTAAGAATAATTCTGTTTTTTTTTTGGGGGGGGTGCGAAGGAATATTGCGTCAACAATTTCTTTTTGGAATAGCAACGATTTTTCCAGATACACGTCCTATTATTTAACTCATAGCTGGTGGGAAAAGAGATATATCTTTGCATCAAATTAAATACAAAGAACACGACTGGAATTCGAACTCTGCCCTCTGATTTCTCATTTCGAGCCGCTATCTATTACACCTTCCGCACATCCAACTTTTGATGGCGGAAAGACATACTTTTGGAATAAAATTCACCCAATACAAGACTCGATCACCACTCAGAGAAGAGGGTTACTGGATGAGATGTGTGATGTAAGGTGGTAGAAAGTGAATATGAGGATAAGAACGAAAGGTAAAAATTTATCCCGACTTAAAGATGCTAAGAGTGTAATAATATATTAAACAAACTAAAAGTACTGTTATCCTTGACCTCAGATTCTTGCTTTTCCATATGGAAATTTACCCGCTAAAAGTAGACGCTTACTTTTAAAATAGGTATGATAAATGGGCTGTGTGATATGAATGAAAGAGTTGGTGGCAGGAACTGAAGATTATGAGGATAGATAAAGATTGACACTTGGCTTGAAGAGATTAAAAATATACAGTTCAGGGAGGAATTCACGCAGGAGACTGTTCCACACACGTCGCAGTAAATAGCCGGTGACTAGACAATTTATTAAGATTTAAAACAAGAACAACCTTTTTTCATGAGAAAAGGGAAGAAAAAGAAAAAGAGTAAGAAAGAAAGACACAAGATAGACCCTCTTTTCACGAGAAACGGAAGAATAAGAAAAAAGTAAGAAAGAAAAGAGAAGAGATGGTTGGAGGGTTTGTTCTTGTTTTCATTCAGATAAGCCAATAGGAATGGCCTACGCTAAGTTCAAAGTAAGGGGAAAAACGAAAGTGAAGAAGTAATCATACGTAAGAGGTCACACACACACACACACACACACACACACACACACACACACATATATATATATATATATATATATATATATGCGTGTTAATGTGTGTGTGCGTGTTTCATTGAATAATATAGACCTATTATGTCTATTTTTATACTGATCCTTTTTAGTTCTCGAAACAGTTACAGGAAAATACTTGTTAACAACACCAATATACTACACTATGAAAATAATAAACAAAAACTTCAAATTCTCGAGTACCTCTATTCAAAATCAACCAACCAACAATCAACAAAAATTTATTATGAGTGTAGCAGTAACGTGTTGAAGTGCATATAACAAACATTTAATGCCATTTTGTAGTGGGTAGCGACTCAGACTGAGGGCTCTTCAGCTGATTGAGTGGAATACGGAGAAAATGAGATTGATCTAACTCAATGAACTTGACATGCCAAATCTGTACTCATTCTGAACTGGTGAAGCTAAAGAATGGAACGTTCATCTGAACATTTGCCGTGTAAATAGCGTTAGATTAGCGATCGGCTTGCGACGTTGTGTCTGTTGGGAAAGACGCTGGAAAATAAAATATGGAAGAAAGTGTCTAGTTGTTTCAGGAGCGGTACAAGGAGAGGAGAAACTAAGGCTTGCCACCGGGGTGAAGCGTGCTCGACGGAAAGAAAACACGATGACATCGGGGGAAAGTGTCTTCACATACATTTGTTGCAATCGAGATTGTCATTCCCGTGTGGACCTGTACAGCCATACCAGATACTGCCCTGCCATCAGCAGCTGAGGCATAACTCTTTGGGTGTAGATCTATGGGCTCTCAAGACCGACGGATGCCACATACATACAAGGAGTCCGCCATTTTCCGAACATTGTTAGCAATGGAATGTATGACAAGGCGGGAGTACCACTAGCACGCAAGGCGTTACAGTGTGAGAGAACGAGTAAAGAGGCGTGTTTGAGGAAAAGATAAAAAGAAAGACGGAAACAAGTTCAAGGCACGAGAAGGTGTCAATTGACATTACAGTTGAATATTTTAAGATTATAATTATCATGGAAGCAAGTAAAAGGAAAGGGAATTCCACAGACGGGAAGTGCTGGAGAAGAAGCTGTTGGAGTAGAAGAGACGGCTACATTTAGCTGTTTCGACAGTGAAACGGTGGGACCTAGATGTCAATCTAGTAGCACGCTTAAATTCATGCAGTCTGGGAACCAGCAAAAGTTGCCCGTCGGTGCAGTTGCCGTGAAAATACTTGCAGAAGAGAAGCCACGGCACGTCTGTGAGAAAGTGACTGTAGACGAGATGCCAGATCAGGACCTATCACATTGCATATCCGTCTCTGGATTTTTTTTCGAGGACCTCGAGACGTACAGTGGGGCCCATATATGACAGCAGTATTCCATGCAAGGGCGAATAGTTGATTTATAGATTTGAAGGATGAACTCAGACGAGAAAAACTTTCTGTAGAATAATCGAGTTATAATAGAAGATAGTTAAGAAAATGTAATTAATATACGGCCAGCCCATAGTGCTCCCCTTGCCCTTCTACCAGATTACAAAAAATATCTACTTACTTTTCAGCATGGCTTCTGTTGACGGCAACTGATTGGAACATTCTGGTTCGTCTGTAAAATAAAACACTTCAAATTTTAAAAACAAATAATTTTTTTTATTTTGATAAATAAAATAATGTAAGGCATTACAATGCTTAACACATTAACTGCCAAATTTTTTAATGCGTATTTTTGGCTCAGACAGGTGTCTTAGGAGTTTATTTATTCCTTATGTTTAATTTCAGTAGTTACCATTGTCGTTTTTATAGCGACGAGAACATCAAATATATATTTGTATAAAACATCAAAAAATAATATTGATTAGAAATAACAAAAAAGTACTTTTTTCAAAATAGTCATTTTTTTTACTCGTGAAATGTAAAATTACGACAGAAAGTGTCTTCTTACGGCTAATAATAAAACCTTTAAAGGCTAAGTGTTGTAAAATATACCTCTGCAAATGCAATGTATGTAAGCAATTCAATGTAAATACAAGGAATAACACGTAGTGAGTTTAATTTTAACAGATCCCCAAATGGGGTTGATGGCAGGTAATGGGTTAACTTAGAGTAAGCCTTCTATCCCTTACATCTTTATTCAGTTTGATGTTTTAACCTGATAAAACTATTGATAAAGCTGAATGTTTTGCTCGTAAATTCTCTTCCAATTCTAGTCTTGAATCGTCTGGTGTATCTTTGCCTGTCATTCCATTTAGAAATGAGTCTATATTAAATGATATCCATATAATTCCGTCCGTAGTTTCTGCTATCATCTAAACTGGATCCCCACAAAGCATGAGGACTTGATATACTATCAAATATCCCTGCTAAAGTTCTTAAGAAATGTGCTCATGAACTGGTTCCTGTTCTCTCTGCAATAAATGCCTGGCTGATTCTTGTTTTCCTGCTTGTTCGAAATAATCTTCTGGCGAGAGATTCTTCTATCGGAATAACATGTAGTGAGTTCAATTTTAACAGATCCCCAAATGGGCTTGATGGCAGGTAATGCGTTAATGAATCTGTATAAAGAATCAAAGAAATTCTTGTTGCAAGATCAGATGACACTTCCGTTGTGATGTTGTTTTTTGTTTTTTTTTTGTTTTTAGACAACATAACACTCGGTATTTCTATTGAGATTTTCCAAGCGTAGCTTAGATGTGGCACAAGGCCGAAAGTCTATGGCACCCAATGAGGATCGAACTCACTACTCAGTCATAATTGTTCTAGCAAGACGAGCTTGCTAACCATTACACCACGCCGAGGCGCCCACACTCGGCATTTCTATTGAGATTTTCCAAGCGTAGCTTAGATGTGGCACAAGGCCGAAAGTATGGGGCACCCAGTGAGAATCGAAGTCACTACTCAGTCATAATTGTTCTAGAAAGACGAGCTTGCTAACCATTACACCATGCCGAGGCGCCCACACTCGGAATTTCTGTTGAGATTTTCCAAGCGTAGTTTAGATGTGGCACAAGGCCGAAAGTATGGGGCACCCAGTGAGGATCGAACTCACTGCTCAGTCATAATTGTTCTAGCAAGACGAGTTTGCTAACCATTACACCTCCGCCAAGGCTCCAGGGTAAGACGATAGACTACGTCCAACAGCAAGGCCTCTGATCAGGAGGTTTTTGAGGATCGTGGAACAATCTCTTAATTTGGGTGGTAGCACCTGTTAGAGTCCCATCTATGGGCAAATAGTTGACCCCACCCCAACCTGACTCAAAACACTATAAAAGTATAAAAATAGGTTTTAATACCGGAAATCCTTTGTAAAAAAAAAAAAAAAACTTACTACCAGCAATAAATATTTGAATAAATATTACGAGCAATAAATTTAAAAAAAAATATTACCAGAAATAAAAATCTTGTCAGCATTAAATAATCCCTTGAGTTTAATATGCCACAAAACAAATCAAACTATAGATTTTTGGGAAAAAAAATACCAGCTATACATTTTGTAACAAATAGTATTACCAGCAATAAAAATTTTGTCTACATTAAATAACCCAATTGTGGTTGATATGCCGTAAAACAAAACAAAACAAACCAACGTTGTGATGGAGATTTTTAAAAACATGCCTGAACGCGTTCTATTATAGTTATTTTAACATTTTAAATTTATCCGTTGTAGCTATGCAAGTTTTTTGGGAAACAAGTGTCCCAATATAAGGGGAACTAACCAGAAATTTTGTTGAGTGTTAGTTGATTCCTTTTTTATGCAGAGGGCCTCGAAAATTTGAAGTTTTTGTTTATTTTCGTGGTGTAGTATATTAGTGTTGTCGTTGTTGAAAACAGGTAGACACCGACTTCGCAATCCTTGAAAGCATACGTGTCGACCACCGCAAAGAAAATAGAGAATAAAGTGGAAACATGCTTGACTCCATTTTCGATGGCTATGGGTTCTGATAGAGACCCATTGAACTTAAATCACTCTTTCACACTACAGAATTGTTTAAACAGTCTTATAAAGTTTTGAGTACATCTTACGTTACTGAGAATAGTCCAAAAAGTAACCCTATTTATGGATATGGTCTTGGTTAGATCGACAAACCTGCTTCAATACAACAGTATTTTTCAAAACTATTGTTGTCTCTTTATGGGGCACACCAGGTTGAGGCGTGAACATCGCTTTTGTCTTCCTGATGCTAATCCTCAGTCCAAAAGCCTCACAAGCGACAGGGAAGCGATCCATTATGAGTTACATATCTTCCTGCGTGTTCACCACAAATTTTTCATCGTCGGTGTATAGAACCATGGCGGTGATGAGTATATAAATCACACGTGAGTTAATATTTCCTGCTAGCCGGTCCAACTACATGAGAAAGTTGGACTTTAATTAAGTCCCCAAAAAAAACAAACAAGACCGATAAATATATGTAAACAATTATATGTATTAATAACGAGTTACAAAACAAATGGACAGTTACATGGACAGAGTGCGTGTGGTGAATATTATGTGGTGAGTGTTCGTATGTACGTGTATTGTTCTTAGCGTTTTCCCAGAATTTGGGAAACGCAGTATCTGTGAGAGCTCACATCTGCGAGGTGGTATAAGGCCCAAAGGCCTGAGGAAAAAAAGAGACCGAGGCGAAGCGTCAGCCAGTATTTATAGCCAGGGGAGAAAGACCCCTGTTGAAGGGTTAAGGAGCTGAGGAGGAGCTAACTCCGACAATACCCCCCCTCAGTTGAAAGTTGTAGAAAACAAACTTTTAATATGTAAGAAAAAAGTTCATGAAAGTTTTGAATATTGTCCTTGTGAGCTGAAAAGAAAATGTGTTAGAAGTGTGGTTGATAAGCGTGATTCGACGAAATGTGCTTGTGTTGTCGTCAGGGTGCTCGGTGCTGTGTATTTCTCTAATCCGTCACAGACGGGGCACGTCCTGGAAAAAACGTCGGTAGTGGTCTGCGTTTGCTATCAAAATTTGTCTTGTTTTCCAATGTTCCACGTTGAATTGGCTTTGTTGTCCCGCCAACATGTTTGCTGGCCTGGTCGTAGTTTTGTTTGAAAAACGAGGTTGTTTGTTTGAATTGCGTGAATAAAATTGGCACACAAGATTTAATAGAAGCAGCATTGTGGTGAATTTGAGCTGATATAGACTTTCTACCGAGTGTCGAATTCATGTTTAAGAAAATTTACTATTATTGTCGATTGAATATCGCACTTGCAAATTCTTAGTTGCGTTGTTGCAAAGATAAAGGACAGGGAGTCGCCTTTTGTGGTTGAAAATAAAGGACAGTGAGTCGCCTTTAGTTTGAGATGTGGTTCACACTTTATCTGTTTCAGTCCAGAAGAAGAGAGTGTTAGTAGACAATGGCGTTGCGTTTTCCGTTTGGTAAGGCGGGGGAAATTAGGTCAAACATCGCCGAGAGAAAGAAAGGGTCAAGCAAATATAGACCAGTGGGGAAAGAGTTCTAAGGCTCGTCTCATAGTAGTAATTGTGGTTCTTCTAGTGGCGATTAAGGCTTCCGTGATTTCCACGTGTTGAAAATTCTTTTTGCTGCGCAGGAGAAAATTGTTTTGTAGACCTGTTGTAATGAATTAAAATTGTGATTTTTGTACTTTCATCAGTTTAATAACAAATTTTTGTTGCTGTATAAAAGTTCTTTCGTTAAGTGCACGGCGTGCGTAGGATACGAAAAGAAGTTTTTTCAATGTTTTTCCGGTCTGGCTCTCTTTTGTGAAAGTGTGTGTAAATGT